GGCAGGGGACCCCGCTGCGGGCCCGCGGGCGGCGGCGGCGGCGGGGGGCGGCAGTCGCGGCGGCGGCGCGGAGGCGCCTTCGCGCCCGGCCGCGCGTCCGCCTCGGGTTCCTCCGCCTCGGGCGGCGGCTCCGCGGGGTGCGTCGGCTTCAGCGGCAGCTTCATCCTCAGCATCCTCGGCTAGGGCGGCGCAGACATGCGAGCGGGGGCGGGCAGGAGGGGCCGCGAGGTGGGGCACGGGCCAAGGCGGCGGCGCGGCCGTCAGGAGCGGGGCCCCTCCATGCCGCCGGGGGAGGGCCGGGGCCGGGGCCGGGGGCGGGTCTCGGCCGGCGAGGGGGGCGGTGGCCGGCCGGCCGGGTCGGTGGCGTCGTCTTCCCGGGCCGGGGGCGGGGCGTGCCCGCGGCGGCTCCTCCCCCTGGGCTCCGCGCCGGCTCTGGGAACTCGGGTGCGGGTGGGGGCAAGCGAACGATGGTGTCCTCCTTCCGCCTCCCTCTCTCCGTCGTCCGCGCTGAGCCGGGGCGGCGGTCCCTGAGCGGTTCCCTCGCGAGCCGGTGAGGACGGAGCGGCTGGATAAGGAGGTGGAGCGGCCGGGCCGGGCGGAGAAGGTTGCGGGTTCCGCGCACCAAACCTCCACCAATCAGCGCCGCGAGCCAACGGTGACGTCGCTCTTCCCCGCCCCTGAGGCGGCCTTTCGCCGGGAAGCCACGCCCAACTGCTGGCCGGCCGCCTCTCTCTCAGCGGCTTCCGCGCGGTCCTAAAGGCTGATTTTTAACGGGGTCGTGTGGGGAGGACGCGGGCTGGGACCGTGGGACGGCGCGAGGGGGGCCCGGGCGCTGCGAAGAGCGTGCGAGGCCCACGTGAGCGGAGGGACGCGGCTGCTCTCACCTTTCCCGAGGGCCCTGGCCTGGCTTTGGACTCCTGACTCTCTGCTTTGCCAGCTGCCGCCCCACCTCCGCCAGCGGTGCCCCGGCTGCCTGCGCGGCCGGAGCGAACGCTTCCCGAGAGCGGGGGTTTCTCCTAAGTGAGCGCGCCGGCCCCGGGACGAGCTCGTTCGAATCCTCACCGCCCGGTGCACTTCCGCAAAGCCGGCTGGGTGCTGTCTCCCACCTTGTGAAACTTTGCCGGGAGCCTCGGGGTTCACGCTGTGTCGCGCACCGGGGGCTGGGTCCGGACGCGGGTGGCGGCGCTGGTTTGCGGCACACCCAGGCTGCAGGCACCGTGCGCAGGTGGGGACGCACGGCCAGGAGGTGCGCACTGCGACCGGGCGGAGGGGTGCGCTGCTGGGAACGTCTGGTCTGAAATGCTCTGTGAAAATGCTTTCCTGGGCACTTTAGGAAAAGTCTCTCCCTTCCCCGCCCTCAAACCTGTATCTTTCGGGAATTATTGATTTTCTAAATGACATTAAGGTGTCTAACCCATTTTGAATCCCTGTGTTGCGGTAAATGTCATGTGAATGGAGGAATTTATTAAGCTACCAACTTGACAGGCTTTAAACTTTTTAAAAAAAGTTTTGTTACGTTTTTCAGATTTAGGCTTCCAAGATGTCTATACCTCGCACTGTTGCTTTTTTTTTTTTTTTTAAGCAACATAGTCCAAATTTTTAAAACTCAGCTGGATCTTTTGAGGGTTAATTAAAAAGTGGGTTAAAAAAATCCTTAAGGCTTCTAATTTAAATTAAAATTCCTACTACAGCTATGTAGTAGGAGTATGCAGAAAGATAAGAATCGCACTGTAACACTGCCTTGGTGCTGGGACATCTGTTGGAAGAGCATATGCTGAAAACTCCCTTCACCTCACGAGTTTATGTCCTAACAGGCTCATTCACAGTTCAGTAAAAGGGTGAATTTAAGCCTGAATCAGTTTCAGGGATGAAAAGGAAACAGGGAGAATTATTATTTGCAACACATTTTAGGTTGACAAAATATATTAAAGTCATTCTTTCCTGTAATTTGCAGTCTTTCGATGTAATTTACAAACAAAAAAACTTTATTATGAGGACTTTTATTAACAGTCATTGCCCCTTTTTGCTGTCACCCTCAACTTCCCAGCGGTCTACTCCTGTCTCATCTCCTATTCCCACTTTTCTTGTGCTAAGGTTGGAATACTTTAGGCAACTAGTAATAATATTAATCTTGCTAGATATTCGCAGGTTGATAGTGAGCCATCTGTCTAGATCTGTATATTTAGTGAGCAAATAAATGCTTTACCTCCAAGTTGATTTTTTATGTTATTGATTGATTGATTGACACAGTCTTGCTCATTTTAATTGATTGATTGACATAGTCTTGCTCTGTCGCACAGACTGGAGCACAGTGGCACCATCTCAGCTCACTGCAAGCTCTGCCTCCTTGGCTCAAGTGGATTCCCCTGCCTCAGCCTCCCAAGTAGCTGGGACCACAGGCACACAACACCACACCTGGCTAATTTTTTGAATTTTTTTTGTAGAGACAAAGTCACACCATGTTGCCCAGGCTGGCAAATTGAGTTTCATATGTGACCCAGTCAAAGGGTCATTTTCCTTGGCAACAAGAAACCATTTGGTATGAACTCTCCACAATACTTGATGCATAAATTTTACACCAGAATTCAAATGTATAATCAATAATGATTACTTGTGTGTTTCTATCTTTGGCCAACATTAAACAATATAGTGATCAAAGCTCGTACACATAAGTGACACATACCATGACTTAATGATTCTGGTTATCCACCAACTGGGCAATTGGTTGTTTATCTCCCTCTCTACACACTGACACTCACTAGGAAGCCTTAGTGGGTTTTTGCATGCTGTCATAAGTGAGAGAACACATTCAGTAAGAGTGAAAAAGCATTAGTGCTTTTGAGAAAGGGGCCCAGATGGAAATCCCAGTGTAAGATGCGAGTCCCAGTGTAAGATGTGAGTTGTCACATTGGGAAACCTACCCTTATGGTTCTAATAAGACTCTCTAGAAAGGGATTCCTCTTACCCAGCCTACCTACTGAGAACGCCTGCTCTAGATTCTCTGCTATTTTATATATTCCCTGTGTAATCAAATCATGTGGGCCAGATCATATTGTGATAATGGTGAGTTTGTCATTGTATCCAAATCTTTTATAAAGAAATACATCCTGTAAAAAAAAAAAAAAAATCCTCAGGGTGCTCTCTTTGGTAGCACATATACTCAAATTGGAATGACACAGAGAAAATTAGCATGGCCCCTGCGCAAGGATGACACGCAAATTCGTGAAGCATTCCATATCTTTAAAAAGTCCTCAGGACACAAAGTATGATTGTCTCTTGTCCCTAGATGATATATATATATTTAACTTCCCACACTACACTGATGTACCTAGACGATGTTTAATGCACATTCAGTATATTGTTTTATTTCCCTCTTTAATAATGAAAGGTGGTATTATTCATATACCATGCCATACCGTAATATAGTTGGATAATATATTATCCAAATATTTATATGTAACCAGAAAACTGATTCCAAGTGAAGGTTTGGATGAAGGTGCAAATGATGGAGGAGACTTTGCAACCCTCCTTTCTGCAGCTGGGTTGCTGCAAGACATTTCACCAAAACCACAGATAATTGGGTGGTTCAGGGAAGCCTGATATACTAAAACATATCGACTGTAAAAAGGATGCCCAGATGCATCCACTTCTACTTCAGACATCTTAAAACAGTCTGATTCATATCAAGAATTTGTTCCCTATCAGACCCCTCACCTATTATGACTCCCTGTCTGTTTCCCCCATTAGAATGTAAATATCTTAAAGTCACTGACCATGTTTTATTCAATATTACGTTTTCTCATCTGGCACACAGTAGATGCTCATCCAAGTTTGTTTGAATGAATGAATGAACGATGCTCTCAAAACCAAAAGTAAAGGCCAGAAGCTCCTGGGTCACATGAAACCTTGTTCCTACCTAGTAGGGAAAAAGAAAACATGTCTCAGCATTTTCAGACTAGCCCTGAGATTCACTCCAGCTGAATTGGCTGAGGTTCTATGTCTGTTCTTGATCAATCTCTGGGGCCAGGGCAGTGAGTCAACTTCTTCAGAACCATATGGGTCCCTTCCAAGGAAATCCAGGGCTGTTGGAAGGGGGAAGAAAAATATGGATGCAGGGAGGCACCAACATATGTCTGATATCATTGTACTTTAATCTGTAGTTTTGATCATTTTAATTGCCATGGGTCTAAGCTACCTCAAAAATAAATTTTTGTTTAGTTAGATCACATACAGCATTTATTTTAAAAGAGATGTTAAATATTAAACTGTCTTTAAATATTACACTTTCAAAGCTGATCTAAAGATCTTGGTGCAAAACACCGGTAAGTTATTTGCAGATATACAACCTAAGGAAAAAAACAATTACATATTAAAATTAAAAAAATAAGTTTTTGTAACGCTTAAAAAAATGCCCTGACAGAGTTGAGATAGAAATTACTGGTGTTGTCACTGTAAGAAGTATTTCCATTGGTCACCTGGGAATCCATGCCCAATACCGTGCTATATGGCATCTTTTCTGGAAGACTAGCCTTGGATTGAATTCACAGTCTCCCTGGAGTTGTGGTTCCATTTGTCAGAAAGATTCTTAGGGATTTAGACTGGCCAAGCTGTCATGTTCTCACGCTCATACATTTGAAATTTTTGGAAAAACCATAAAACCCACCACTCTTTGGAGACCGTCCAGAAGTCAACTTGATTCTCAAATGGTTTGGTTTGGAAAACTGTTAGGCTACTTGTGTTAAAAATTGAAGAACTAGCTGGGCATGGTGGTGTGTGCCTGTAGTCCCAGCTACTCAGGAGGCTGCAGCAGGAGGATCACTTGAGCCCGGGAGTTTGAGGCTGCAAGTGCTCTATGAGTGCACCTTTGGAGTGCCACCATACTTTAGTTGGACAACAAAATGAAACCTCATCTCTTATAATAAGAAATGAACTGGCTGATGATGGGTACTTGCCAGGGCAGACCACCTTAACTAAGCCCCTGGGGTTCTGTGGGACCTATGCAAATAGATCTTCTGCTCAACTGTTCAAAAAGGCAAGGGCTGTCCCCCTCAGAAAACAACACTGACTTCCAGAGACCCTTGGAGAGATGGAAGTTTTTGAAGATTGGCTTGCTAGATAGAAAAATAACCAATGCTCCATCAGTGTTCTCTTGATTGGAATTTGCTGATTCATGTTTCTTAAAATACATGATCACATCAAGTTTGCTG